GTGCATGTGCTAGCAGAAAGAGAGAGACAGAGAGACGGAAAATGAGAAATCACCCCCCAAGGGGGATGGCCATGCACAATCCCTTCTCCTCCATTCTCCTCTCGGGATCTTGGGCACGCACGCACACACGCCCAGCGTGAGTTTTAAGCCACTGGGTCCTGGACGTGGACTGCGGTCAACTACATGGGAGTCCAACGAAATAGCCATTACGCTAACTGCTGGTTCCAGATTTCTGGGTACTTTTGAAGATTTATCTGTTTGATAGTCATGGTGAGATCTATTTTTGGTCAGAAAGGTCTAGATCTGAGGTGTGACTAGAAAGTCTATCTATCAATCATGATCAGATCTGTGCCAGACAACAACATCCTTAGAAATGAGGACTGAAAGGCCCAATACGGTGATTCTCAGAGGCATATGAGTCATTTTCAGAGAAAAAAATTTTGTAGTGAATTTAATGACACACAGGAACGATAACTTTGAAGCAGGGAACTACAATTTCTCGCAATAGGGAAGCCTGGGAATGGGAAACTCCAAGATGCTATTATACCCATAACACATATGGACTGAAAAAAAATTGAAAAGAAGACTAAAAATAGAAACTTTGAAATTATACAGCTGAATGGTAGAAATTGAGCTCTATCACTTAGATTAATCTTTATAAACTTCATCTGTGAAACAGGGAAATGGCACTGGCCACATTACAAAGTGAAAGGATGCCTGTAAAGTGCTTTTTGTGGTGACTGGCACATAGCAAACACTTTAGAAATGTTAGGTATTAGGGCCAGCAGGTGGCATGGTGGTTAAGGCACTGGACTCCAACATGACTGACCATGGTTTGAGTCCCAGACTTGGTGGCTTGAAAATCATGCCAGGCATGTGTGTGCGCATGCCCAAAATTCCAAGAGGAGAATGGAGGAGAAGAGACTGTGGCATGGCCATCTTTTCTGGATGGTACTTTCTCACTTTCTCTCACTGTCTCTCTTTTCTGGTGAGCACACATGCTGTATGATTAAAACAAACAAACAAACAAAAAACCTTTTAAAAAAGCAAAGAAAAAAGAAACATTAGGTATTATTTATTATTTCTTTAATTGTTAGGAGGAGAGTGCTATCAAGGCTAACCTGTTAGAAATTATTTTACCGTATGAGACTCGGTCATAGTAAAACATTTGCAACTGTGTCCATATGGTCACAGACACAGAGATGACTCTGGAGTTTTTAGGAGATATTGGTGATCATTTTCTACAAATTGAGTGGATTTGATTATGACCAAGGTCTTTCGGTTCCTACCTTTAATGAGAGAACATGGAAAAACCCTGGAGTTTAGAGATCTATATTCAAGGGAGTTCTGGCTTGTGTCATTTAGTAGTTACAACTTTGAATATATTACTTAGTTTCTGAAGTGTAATTTCTTTCTCTGTAAAATGGGGGTGATTATAATACCCACATATAAAAAATCAAATTAACTAAGCATTGATAAATATGATTTTGCACACTGAAAGATAATATTAGCGAGCCTAGCCAGGTGGTTAAGGCAGCTAGATCCCATATGGCTAATTATCCAGGTTAAATCCTAGACCCAGTGGCTTGGAAAACATGCCAGGTGTGTGTGCATATATGCCCCAAATCTTAAGAGAATGAAGAAGAAAAAATTGAGGTATGGCCATCACCCCAGGGATGCTTTTTCACTTTCCCTCCCCCTCTCTCTGACTCTCTTTGGTGAATGTATGTGCCCTATAACATATTAAGAATGTGTATATATATATTAGTTATTATTATGGGAAGTGCAAAATTCACTAGCAAGACAGACTTATTTAGAAAGGCTATTGTAGGACAAAGATAACTAATTTTCTCTGCTAAACTACAGCTCTCCTTTGAAGCTCTTAAGCTAGGATATATAACAGTGATTATTACATGGAGGTTCAAATGAAGGCCTTAAGCTAGATTGTGAAATAAAGGCTGTCATGCTAAACACAATTTAGTAAAACTCAATTCAATTTTACTTGTAGCACATGTGCATTTTATTCACTTAGCCAGCTCTTATACAGGTAGTAGGAAAAGTTTCATAGAAGAGGCAATATTTAAGAGAGCTTTCACAAGATGAAGAAGTCTTTATTAAGTATTTGCTGTATACTAGATATTATATTGACTGCACAGCATTTTATTCACAGTATTATGTGCTAAGTACTAAGGGAAACTAAAGCACAAAGGCAGAAATAACTTGCCCAAGGTCACATACCTAGTGATAGAAGAGGTAATATTTAAGAGAGCTTTCACAAGATGAAGTCTTTATTAAGTATTTGCTGTATACTAGATATTATATTGACTGCACAGCATTTTATTCACAGTATTATGTGCTAAGTACTAAGGGAAACTAAAGCACAAAGGCAGAAATAACTTGCCCAAGGTCACATACCTAGTGAATGGCAGAATTGAGACTACACACAGAATTCATGCTTTCTCTTTCTTATTCCCAGAGGGCATGTATGTTGACCACAGGAGTGGGCGGGAGAGAGAGGGAGAGAAAGCACTGCCCCCCCTACCCCATGGGGTGTAAACATGGCACGATTCTTATTTTCTCCATTTTTTCATCCTATCCGAACTTTGGGTATGCACATGCATGTGCCCAGTGTGTGTTTTTTCCAAGCTATTGGAACTGGAATTTGAACCATAATCAGCCATGTGGGATCCAGCTCCCTATGCACAGCACTAACCGCTGCACTATGGGGGCCAGTCCTCATTATTTTAAAGTTTATTTATTTCTTCCAAAAGGAAGCACACTCCAATAGGGTCTCCATGTGGTGTTATATTCCCATTCTCATCTGACCCAGATCACAGGCATACACATGTGCATCTGGTGTGCTCAGGAAGGTGCCAGGATGTGATCTCTTGACCTTTCCCATGTGGGCCCAGTTGCACTATTGCTGTTTCACCTCCTGGTTCCACAGTCAATACTTTTAAACCCTACATTGTACAAACAGTTCCTAACTTATTATTTCTGACTTACATTTTTTTTTTTTTATTTACTGTTTTTCAACTTCAATGCTGCAGAGGTAATATGCATTTAGTAGAAACTATACTCAAGTCCGGACCAGCAGGCGTAATGGCTATGTTGCTGGACTCTCATGTAGCTGACTGCAGTTCGTGTTCCAGACCCGGTGGCTTAAAACTCACACCGGGCGCGTGTGCGTGCATGCCCAAGATCCAGAGAGGAGAAAGGAGGAGAAGGGACTGTGGCGTGGTCATTCCCCCTGGGGGTGATTTCTCGCTTTCTGTCACTCTGTCTCTCTCTGTCTGGCGAGCACACGCACCCTATAGCAAAAACCTCTCCAAAAAAACAAACAAAAAAGAAAACAAAAATAAAAAAGAAACTATACTCAAGTCCTATACAACCATTCAGTTTTTTTTAAAATTTAAAAAAAAATTTTTTTTTTTAGAGATTTTTCCTATAGGATGTATGTGCTTGCTGGAGAGATAGAAAGATAGTGAGAAATCACCCCCCCAGGGAAAATGGTCAAACTGTAATCTCTTCTTCTCCATTTTCCTCTCAAGATCTTGGGCATGCATACACCTGTACCCAGCATGAATTTTAAATTGACAGGTCTAGGACTTGAACTGTGGTTGGCTACATGGGAGTCCAGTGAAGTAACCATTACACCTCGTCCCAACCATTCTGCTTTTCACATTAAGTATATTCTTTTTTATACGTTTTCTTTTCATTCTCTACTTTTTCTTTATAGCACTTAACAATTTGAGTTGTCTTACTATGAGGGCATGTGCTGTCTGCTTTTTTTCTTTTTTCTTTTTTTGGAGAGGTTTTTGTTATAGGGCACGTGTGTTCACCAGACAGACAGAGAGAGAGACAGAGAGATAGAAAGTGAGAAATCACCCCCCAGGGAGGATGGCCACACCGCAATCCCTTCTCCTCCATTCTCCTCTCAGGATCTTGGGCACGCACACACACGCTCCCGGCGTGAGTTTTAAGCCACCGGGTCTGGGACTCAAACCGTGGTTGACTACATGGGAGTCTAGCAACATAGCCATTATGCTAACTGCTGGTCCCGTGCTGTCTGCTTTAATGTTATTTTATCTTCAGTGCCTAATATAGGACCAGCATGCAGTAGGTGTTCAACAAATACTAGATAAATAAATGAGCCTGGTTGACCAGAGGGAAAGGCATTCTGGGCAGATGAAATAATACGGCAAAGTGAGGGATACTCAAAATAACACACGATATTCTTAGAATATTGATATAACTATCCTTTGTTGACTAGAAATCATGTGCTAACCAATTTGTTAATAAATCACATTAATTCTCCCAAATTTCAAGACAGGTAATATTAACATCCCCATTTTATAGACGAACATATCAAGTTTCAATAGACTAAATAACTTGTTCAAGATCATGTAACTGGTGGATCTGGCTTCTGTGTAACTCCTGATCACAAGCTCATGATGTGGTGGTAGTGCCCATCTACCAGTAGCTCAGGATAGTATCAGCTAAGGAGAGATCTGTTCTTCAGAATCCTAAGCCCTCAAAAGACTCAGAAATCAATCTCTAAAGTTTTAAATATCATATTACCTATTACCAGTTAAATTATAAACCATAGAGTAATTTACACCTGTGAAGATACGTGCGTATTGTTAGTTACTTCCCTCCTGCTGGACACTCTGATTACTACTTGCATTATTTTTGCTATATGTAGGTAACATAAAGTGTTCTTGCTAATATCCAATGTTCAACAATTGAGTGACTGCGTTGTGATAGATTTTTGTATAATTGTCTATTGAGGACTTTGGGATAAGATCACTTCCCTATTGTTAGGAAATGAGGTCTTTTATGATGTGCAATACTCCTGATATTGCATAACTGTAGATGAGGAGGCTAGTCAACGAATAGGAAATCTGGACTTGGCATACACATACTAATGGGTAGAAGGTACTGTTTCTGACTTTGTGCATTCCTATTTTCTTATTAATAAAATCTATTCTATTTTGTAGCATCAAGGCATGTGCACATGAAGGCATTCTTGGTATGAAGTAGAAAAAAGATCCACACCAGCCGGAAGCAGACAGTGAGATGGCTTAGATGACCCCTACTTCAAGATAATTGTAAGGAATCTTCTAAGTAAGCCATATCATTCACTGGTTCTCAGTCAAGGCTACACTTTAGCGTCATCTTGGGGGCTGTTAATAATATTGATGCCTGGGTCATGTCATACTCTAGAGCAATAGTTCTTAAGTTTGGCTGCACTTGGAACTGTCTGGGGAGTTTTAAAACCTACTGATGCCTGGATCCTACCCTCAGAGTTTGTGATTTAATTGGTCATTTGTAAAGCCTGGATATTGGGATTTTTTACAAGCTCCCTGGGTGATTCTAATGTGCAGCCAAGTTTGGGAATGATTGTCTTAAACCAATTGAATTAGAATTTCTGGAGGTTATCAAGTTCAGTGATTCTTAAACTTATATTTATTAAAAACAAAAACAAAAAACCAAAAAACCCTAAAGAAACAACACCTCAAATCTTTTTTTTGGGAGAGGTTTTTGCTATAGGGCATGTGCGCTCACCAGACAGAGAGAGACAGAGAGATAGAAAGCGAAAAATCACCCCCGAGGGGGGATGGCCACACCGCAATCCCTTCTCCTCCATTCTCCTCTTGGGATCTTGGGCACGCACACGTGCCTGGTGTGAGTTTTAAGCCACCAGGTCCAGGACTCGAACTGCAATCGACTACATGGGAGTCCAGTGACATAGCCATTATGCTAACTGCTGGTCCCGCCTCAAATCTTCTTAAAGCATAGATTCCTGGGCCCTACCCCCAGAAGATTCTGACTCAATGAGTCTGTGATGGAACCATAAATTTGCATTTATGATTCCCACATGAGAGTGATACTGCTGGTGCTGGTTCAAGGACACTCTTTGAATAGCCTCAATATGTTACTTTCATCTATTTATTTGTTTATTTATTTTGCCTTAGGGCATGTGTACTTGCCTGTGAGAGAGAGAGACATAGACATAGACACAGAGAGGGGAAGTGAGAAATCCTCTTGGGGGGATTGCCATGCTGAAATCCCTTTTCTTCCATACTCCTCTTGGGATTGTGGGCATGCATACACACACATCTAGTGTGATTTTTCAGCTACTGGGTTCAGGGCTTAAACTGTGGTCAGCCATGTGGGAGTCCATCCCCTTAACCACCATGCCACCCGCTGGACTCTATTTTCTTTTTGTTATTCACTTTTTAAATTAAATTATTTAATTAAAATAAATTGATTTTGTGCAGATGTTTCAGTCTTTTCTTATTTTTGCTTGGGAATGTTAGAGAAGGGTTGTAAGTTCTGATGTAGGCCAGAATATTTCAGAGGAATGGAGTTCCTTGTAAGGTGGTTATAATTTGCAAAGAGGTAAATATCTGGATGTGAGTGATGGCTATGAGTCCAAAAAGCCCTCTCTCTTCCACCTATAATTCTTCCCATTATATAAGTAGAGATTGTGAAGCTTGATTTTACTGAGATATGATTTTACCTTATACAGACAGTACAACAGGTAATATTACAATTAAAGGTGACTGCATTTGAAAGAAAACATTTTAACCCCAGTTACAGTGTTGTGTGCTACTGAGATACTGTGAGTTATGTGGGAGGTCTGAAATTGGTTCCTGAACTAATCTAAAAGTCAGGCATGGTGGCATGTACTTGCAGTCCCAGCCACTGGGGAAGACTGAGCGAGCCAGGGGGATCATCAGCTTGAGGCTGGCCTGGTCAACATAGTGAGACCCTGTCTAAAAAAGATCTCGAGGTGCATGTGAAATCTCAGATGGGATACAGAACAGAAAAATTGTGACATGGTGTGACTCTGTTTTTAAAAACATACAAACAAGGGCTGGCAAATGACATGGTGGTTAAGGGCGCTGGACTCCCACATGGCCGACCATGGTTTGAGTCCTGGACCTGGCGGCTTGTTTTCTCACTTTCTCTCTCTCTCACTCTGTCCTTCTCTGGGCAAATTAAAATAAATAAATAAATAAAGTTAAATAAAATAATTCCTTTAAAAAATGAAAAATAGAACCATTTTAGGTTTTATGCCTAAAAAGAATTTTTTAAGAAAAAACGAAAAGAAGTTTTTGAAGTGTTTTGATTGAAGATCAAAACACTCATGTTGGAAAGACATTCACATAGTTGAATGAGGCTGCAAATGCACTCACATCTTTTGTTACATGTCTTTTGAGAGTTGCCTTTGGAACTTGGTAGAGACACTTCAGGATATCTTCTTGATATTTTCAGTGGCAACTCTTTTATTGATATTAAAAATATTCTTAATATAAAAATTTTAAACATGAACATAAAATATTAAAGAATTATTGAGATTTTTCCATGTTTGTTGTATGTCTGACTGTTTTCTGAAGTATTAAAAAAATATGAGACATCAATTTTCCAATGGGGAAACTAGGTAAAGGGTATATGGTACCTTTTTGTATTATTTTAAAAATGGCATGCAAATATACAATTATCTCAAAATAAATGAAAAAAAATGAGACATCACATCATTTTGCACCTTCATATGGCAGTGTGCATCTTTTAAAAAAGGGGCATTTTCTTGTAATTACAATATCATCATACCTTTGAAAATAACAAAATGATTCTTTAGTGTCATCCAATACCATTTTCTCAAAGATGCAGATGTCCCTTTATTTAAGTCAGAATCCAAATAAGACCTTTGCACTGAATTCCTTAATTATGTTTCCTAAGATTCTTTTATTCTATGTTGCTCATTCCAGTTTTTCCTTTTTATGGCATTTCAACTTCTTGCAGCACCTGGTCAATGACTTGTCTACAGAAGTAAAAGGTCTTGCTTTTAAAATGTTTATTTGCTTCCTTGTGGTATCATTTAACTTTTTAACTTTTTTTTTGTCTTCTGGATTTCCTGTAAATGAACATTTGTTTTTGATACTTGATTTTATTTTGGCTCAACATTTTTGGAAAGACTATTTCATCGATGATGAATACTGTGAGCTTTCTATTACATCACATCAGGAGACTATAAAGTCTACTTGGTCTAATTCTTTGGATGTTAAGGTTCAGTTGCTAAATGTCTCAACTCTCCACTCTAAAGTTCCACATGGATCTAATGGCTTCATTCCATTGATATTTGTTGTCCGAATCAACTATTTCACTTAGAGGCACAAAGCAGTAATTTCTAAACCTACTGTCCATTGTACATGGGTTAGCTAAAATGCTTTGATTAAAAAAAGAACTTTCCATTATCAAATAGGACTGTTTATTATAGTTAACTGAAATACAGTGCATGTAGGGAAGGAAGGGTGAATGTTTTTTTTCCCTCTTCATTTCTGATTGCCAACTTCAGAATAAGGAATTGGTGATTTGGTTACTTCCAAAAGTATCCAGTGAGGTGTTCTTTTTGTTTGTTTCATTTTGTTTCTTTTCTCTCTTTTTAAATTATGACCATGAGTTAATAGACTTAAAAATATTTATTGTTCCAGTCAATTGCATTTCTTTATCTATTTTGATAGAAGCCCTTTTTGATTAGTGTTTTTATCCTTTTGACACAACCCAGTTGTTTTTCATGTTTCTTGCGAACTGGCATAAAATATCTCAGTAGATACAGCAAATATTTTAGGGGTGTATGCCAGGAAACTTTGTTGTACATAGTGGGAGACTAAGCTTGGTGATTCCAGTTTTGTTTGAAGCAAGCAAGCAAACAAACCCAATGAGTCATCAGAAAGTATGAAAGATGGGACCTGCAGTTACTGTAATGGCTATGTCGCTGGACTCCCATGTAGTCAACTGTAGTTCGCGTCCCGGACCCGGTGGCTTAAAACTCACGCTGGATGCGTGTGCGTGCATGCCCAAGATCCCAAGAGGAAAATGCAGGAGAAGGGATTGTGGTGTGGCCATACCCTCTGGAGATTTCTCGCTTTCTGTCTCTGTCTCACTCTCTCTGGCAAGTGCATGTGCCCTATAACAAAAACCTCTAAAAAAGTATGAAAGGTGAAGTTTTTGTGGTACATACCTATCTTTGAGGTGGTTTAAAAGAATAACAATAGATTTCCAGAAGATGTTTGTATGATTTGAGAATTAGAACTTCCAAGTTATACTGTTTTAGTGAAGGCACACCTGTGAGTTGTGAACAATTTGTCTTAATTATCTCTGTTAGGAAAATGTCAAGTATGAGCCCTTTGCCTTGAAGCTCTTTGATTACTATGCTTGCATGGACTGAATGTGTGTGTCTTTCCAAAATTCATACGTTGAAGCCTAATCCCCATTATGATGGTTGCATGATAGGCCTTTAGGAGGTATTAAGGTCATGAGGGAGGGACCTTCACAATGGGCTTATAAAAAGAAGAGACACGTGATCTTCCTTTCTGCTCTTTGCCTTGTGAGTATTTAGTAAGAAGATGACCATATACCAACTAGGACTTGTTTCCTCATCATACATACACCAGATCTGCCAGCACCTGATCTTGTACTTTCTCCGCAACCGTAGGAAATGTTTGCTGTTTAAAGCCAGTGTGGTAATTTGTTATGGCAGCTCAAACAGAATATGACAATACTGCTAAGTTCTAGAATTTCATTTGTGTCCTCTATTTACTGAAACGTATATTTTCCATTTGTTTAACAAGTTTTCACAATTGCTTGTATATTTTTATGACTGCTTTAAAGTCTTTATCAGATAATTCTAACATCCATCTCATCTCAGTGTTGATGTCTATAAGTTGTCTTTACCCTTGTAAATAGAGGGTTACCTTTAAATGCCAAGTAATTTTGGATTAAATCTGACACATTTTAAATATTATATTGCGCTACTCTGGGTCTTGCTTAAATCCTATTGAATATTGATGGTTTCATTTTAGCAATCTGATTATGTTCAGATTGCAAGTTCAATACTGTCTTTGGTGTGTGGTGGTTCTAATGTCAGACCAGTTTTCAAAGTTTTGCAGTGCTATTTGGAACTGCTCCATATGTGCATTAGCCAGCAGTCAACCTAAATGAATCTCTGTCTTTTAGCTCAATTTTATCTCTTATTTTTTAAAAATTTATTTTATTGTGGCAAGAACACTTAACATGAGTTCTGACCTCTTAGCAAATGTTC